ACACATACGTGTTCAGGCGTGAGAATCAGACCATCAGAGGATTTATGAAAGAGCGAATAGTTAATGAGGTTAACGATTACACTGAGGTGGATCCATTCACCATCACACACACACACCCACACACACAGCTGTGATGCAGAGCTGCGGCTCTTAAAGGGCCAGCGTTACCCTCTCTGAGTTTGACAGCACTAATTATAGTTATATTTGTCATATTCACGCCCACACACAGAACCAAATGCAGTTACAAGCAGCTGTGAGCTGGGAAAATAAATAAACACATCGTTCTTAAAACTGATTTCTGGCGATTTGGGAAAGGATTATATAGAAACAGAAGTTAAAGGTGTAGAAAATAAGACCAGACTTTAAATATGAGCGCATGTGTTTGGACTGTGGGGGAAACTGGAGCACCCGGAGGAAACCCACGCCAACACAGGGAGAACATGCAAACTCCACACAGAGACACCAACTGACCCAGCCGAGACTCAAACCAGAGACCTTCTTGCTGTGAGGCGACAGCACTATCACTGCGCCACCGCGTTTCCAAATATATTTATTTACTTAAAGCAGATACAGCTCTGTACAGTTCAAAAGCAAGGCAGGTTAATTCCTATTATTAAGAATAGTTATGACTGTCAGCCGCTTTAAACATTATAAATAGTGTGAACATTAACACTGTGCTGTGCTTATAGTTGAGGTCAGAATTATTCACCCCCCTTTGGTTTATTTTTTAAATGTTTCCCAGATGATGTTGAGCAGATTGAGGAAATGTTCACAGTGTGTCTGATAATATTTGTTCTTCTGAAGAAAGTCTTATTTGTTTTATTTCGGCTAGAATAAAAGCAGTTTTTAATTTTTAAAACACCATTTTAAGCTCAATATTATTAGCCCCTTTAAGCTATATATATTTCCGATAGTCTACAGAACAAACCATCATTATACAATAACTTGCCTAATTACCCTAACCTGCCTAGTTACCCTAATTACCCTGGTGAAGCCTTTACATGTCACTGTAAGCTGTATAGAAGTGTCTTGAAGTATATCTAGTCTAATATTATTTACTGTCATCATGACAAAGAGAAAATAAATCAGTGATTAAAGATGAATTATTAACACTATTATGATTAGAAATGTGCTGGAGAAATCTGCTCTCTGACAAACAGAAATTGAGGAAAAAATAAACAGGAGCTAATAATTCAGGGGGGCGAATAATTCAGACTCCAACTGTATATGTAAAAAAAAAATAAAACTAAAAACCTCAACATTTAAGTTAAAATGTGCTTTTAAAAGTTAAAATGGCAGGTTACTGTTCTTAAAAAGTAAAAACTGAAAAATCTCCTGGTTTATCAGCACCTGGAAATGTTGCCTGGACCTCCTCATTATAGGCTTTATGGCATCAGATTCATATATAAATCATTTACATTTAGCATGTACATATGACATATTTGATTCATCCACGTAGCACAGTTTGAGAACCACTGCTCCAGGAGATCTGTCATCCAAAACAGTAGAACAAACATGTGGAAAGAGTTTTCACTTAAAAACTGATAGTGCATTGAACAGCTATTGCAGGAAAAACATCGTATTAAACATGACAAGGTTTAGATTCAGATGGGCTTATGAGGATCAATATCAGATGTATCTGCTCTTGAACAGCTTCACTCTCCGTCTACAGCAAACACGTCTCTGTGTGGAACACAAATCTCTTCATGTGTGTTTCAACCAGACGCCCAATTAACTGTTCCATCCACTGATTTATGTGCATTTTAAAATATTGCATAGAGTAGGATACACTTTTACTCGATAAGAGAAAAACAGCACAGTGGAGATTCCCAACACTACTCCACTTCTCTGTCATATCTCCATATTTGCGCAAGTTTAGCAGGAAGTGACTATTTGACGCATTAAATATAAACAGTTTTTATTCACTAATGTTTAATGGAAATATCCAGTCTAATGCACATCTCTGCACCGAAACAGATATTGCTTGGGTCACGTGATTGTTTTATTTAGCTGTGAACTGTCCCTTTAAGAGTATGCCATTGAACAGAATGTTCCTCTATTCCTCACGGACTCATTTTGACATTCCTTTATACTCAGCAGCACACATATTCATGAAAACTCCACTGTTTTCATCCCTAAAGCAAAGGTTTTGTGAGAATCCAGATTTTAGCGAGCGAGTCTTTCCCTCAGTTATTCAGACCAGAAAACAGAGTCGCTGCGCCTTTAAATGCTCCAGCTGAGGCTCCGCCCACTCCCGTTTATTAGCGCCTGTCAAACGGCCGTCGGAAGAAGAGCAGCGAGCGGACGGACGGAGACATGCCCAGCACTCGACGATCCTCCACCGCCGCGACTGCTCCAGCGCCTCCTGCCCTCTCCTGAGCATACCCGACCGGCCACCGGTGGCCGCCGAGCACACATGGATTTCCCCGCGGAGGATCTGCTTCTTGTGCTCAGCGCGTGATCGCCCGTTCCCCCCGGCAGCCTCGGCCCGACTCCCCCATGAAAAACACTCTCTGGAGCGGCGTGAAGATGTCGAGCAAAAGCGCGGAATGGCTGCAGGAGGATCTGCAGGCCGGCGGAGGCTCGCTGCTGCTGCTCGACTGCCGCCCGCACGAGCTCTTCGAGTCCTCGCACATCGAGTCCGCTATCAACCTGGCCATCCCTGGGCTCATGCTGCGCAGACTGAAGAAGGGCAACCTGCCCATCCGCTCCATCATCCCGAACAACGAGGACAAGGAGAAGTTCGTCAAACGCTGCAAGACGGACACGGTGCTGCTGTACGACGAGGCGACGGCGGCCTGGCCGGAGAGCGGCTCCGCGGGCTCGGTGCTCGGCCTGCTCATGCAGAAGCTGCGGGATGACGGATGCAAAGCCTTCTACCTGGAAGGTAAACACGAGGAGTGCTTTTAAACCGAAATACACGGCGGAAAAGTTAACGAGGGAAAGTGTACTTTTAACCCGAGGATGAAGACGCACTCTTGTGACACCCCTCCGCTTAATTTCTCCTCAGATGTGACTTTTTTTTCGACGCGTTCTGTCATTTTCGCGCCGTGATTTTAACCGCGAATTCTGAGGGAGAGAGACGGCGGAGATGTTTTCAATTAATTTCCTAAAATGGCTCCGCCATGTTGTCTTTCACAAGGAAAACGAGCGTTTCATGAATGAACGACCAAAACTCCGAATCACGCGTATCTCTTGGTTTTTTTCAAGATATTGACGCGTTTTGCTTTGATATTTCGTGCGAATATCGCAATATGTGGCGTGTTTTGTCGTGGAAATGGTGTTTAGATGTGTAATTCTCGCTCTCGCCACCATTCACAAAATCCTGTCAGAGCTCGAAACACATCTGCGCGCATTTCCCTCATTCAGACACTGAAGACTGCATTAATGATTATTTATCTTCTTTACTTCACTAGTTTTGATTCCTCTGCTTCAGCCAGCAGTGACAGATGCTGCTCATTGTTATTTGTTTGAGTTATTAAAGTCACAGTTCACATTAATGTGAAGACAGGAAGATATTTAGAGAAATGATAACTCTTGACAATCAGTGACTGAAAACAGAATTTACATTTCTGCTGGAACTGAAGCTCTGCTCTACTGATATTCAGTATTTGACCAGTTTACTGCTTTATTACATGTCATATGCGGTTAGCAAGGCTACTGACTGATAGTAACCATTGGACTAGGGTGTAATAAATGTGTACTAGAGCTTACTTTTAAGACATCTGGAATAAATATAAGAAGCTGTTTTGATTGATCACTGGTCAATGCTCAGGAGTGCCAGTAATATTACCACTAACTAGGAGTCTCAGAATGTTTATAATAGAACAAATCATTTTAACGAGCACATCAGACTGTTTGTTTATAATTAAACAAATCATTACAATTCAAAACAAGCACACAATAATCAATTGATGATCAATTAACTGTCAATAAGCCTTTTAAACTTCATTCATTTTCTTTTCGGCTTAGTCCCTTTATTAATCTGGGGTCACCACAGCGGAATGAACCACCAACTTATCCAGCATATGTTTTACGCAGTGGATGCCCTTTCAGCTGCAACCCATCTCTGGGAAACATCCATACACACTCGTTCACTACAGGCATGTTTGGACTGTGAGGGAAACCAGAGCTCCCGGAGAAAACCTGCAAACTCCACACAGAAACGCCAACTGACCCAGCCGAGGCTCGAACCAGTGACCTTCTTGCTGTGAGGCGAAAGCACTGCCTACTGTGCCACTGTCGCCCATCTTTTAATCAATAACCCTTTATTAGTGGTTAATCATGAACGTTATTCATTTCTCAAATGGATAAGCATATTATCTAGCTCAGCTAGTACATTTACCTTCACTTGCATTCACTTTAGTTAACGTAATAACATTAAAATATCAGTGTAATGTTAAAATATAAATATTAACTAAATGACTTCAGTCTTTAACACATGAAGATTTTCAGAATATGCACGTTTGGAAAGAAAAAACACTCAGCGACACATGATCCATTCTCCAGTGTCTGTCAGACGACACCATTGACATGATGCAGTAGTGCTATAGTAAAGTACTTCAATTATTCTGCTGTGGTGATTCTACGGTAGCTATGGTAACACAACAACTACAGTTATATAAACACAAATGACTCTACAACTGTAGCGTGTATCGTAATACAATACACCACAGTTTACTGTAGTAAACACTATAGTATACTACGGTTTACAAGTTCACTATAGCTAACACTACAATATGCTCAGGGTTGTAAATAATATATGTATTCAGTAGAACACTTTAATATGGTTCAAGAATACTACAGTATTTACTATAAATTACTATAGTATTTACGTCACATGGGTAGGCCTTTATTTACAGTAACAATATTTTTGTTTCGTTGATGAACGGTGGCCATTATGTCATACCAGTTTTACATTATTAAAGATCCTGTGAAGTGCTGTGAAATGAGCATTTTATTATTTAAAGTTTGACGTAATAACTGTGACTTGAAGAGAGGGCGTGGCATATAGTAGCCCCTCCCCCATAAAACAGCCAATAGCGTGTTGTTTTTCTCACAGCTCTGCCAGTGAGAGTGGTTGAGCTCAAGCGCATCAAATGAACAGCCAATGAGAAGAAGAGGGCGGGGTATGCCAGACAGGAGAGAGCGTGTGATTGGTCAGGATATTAGATGAGAAACTGCTGTATGAAGTGATGTGCTTGATCCATTTAGGTGGAAGAGACAAACCGAAAATGTTTTATCTGCTCAATGTGAATGTCGTCTCTGTTTCTGGACACTCTAGATCATAGATATCATCACGACTAACACACTGATGCTCACATCTACTACATTTTAATATTAAAGGGCTTTTAATGTTAATAATTCATCGATTGTTAATTGAGAGCTTTAGCTATAGTGTAGTGTGAATGATCTGTTGAAGGCTCAGTGGTGTAGGTGTGTTTGTCCGTGTATATCTTGACTAATTATGGCCTGTAATCTGGCCTCTTGCAGGAGGATTTAACAAGTTCCAGACTGAATACCCAGAACACTGCGAGACCAACCTGGACTGCTCCTGTCCCAGCAGCTCTCCACCCTCGTCTGTTCTGGGTCTTGGTGGACTGCGTATTAGTTCGGATTGTTCTGATGGAGAATCGGACCGGGAGCCTGGCAGTGCCACGGAGTCCGAGGGCAGTCCGTTACCCAACAACCAACCAGCATTCCCAGTCCAGATCCTACCGTATCTTTACCTGGGCTGTGCCAAAGACTCTACCAACCTGGACGTTTTGGGCAAGTACAACATCAAGTACATCCTGAACGTCACTCCCAACCTGCCCAACATGTTCGAACACGACGGGGAATTCAAGTACAAGCAGATTCCCATCTCTGATCACTGGAGCCAAAACCTATCTCAGTTTTTCCCTGAAGCCATTTCTTTCATAGGTGAGTTTGACTGTCGGACGTTTACACGCTAACATTGGCCATATTGTGGTTTTGTTGTTGGAGTGGATGAAAACTGAGCTTCTGAAATCAAAACATTCACTCAATACAGAGCTTGTGTGATTAATTTATTAATCAGTAAAATAATAACAGTAAATAATATTAGACTAAATATTCTTTAAGACACTAGTGTTCAGCTTACAGTGACATGTAAAGGCTTCACTAGGGTAATTAGGGTAAAGTTAGGGTAATTAGGCAAGTCATTGTATAACAGTGGTTTGTTCTGGAGACAATCCAACACTAATATTGCTGAAGGGGCGAATAATATTGACCTTAACATGGGTTTAAAACAATTAAAAACTGCTTTTATTCTAGCCCAAATAAAACAAAATAAATTTAATTAAAATTTTCTCCAGAAAAAAACTGTTGTAGGAAATACTGTGAAAATCTCCGCGCTCTGTCATTTGTGGAATATTTGAAAAATAAACTTTCAGGAGGGCGAAAAATGTGGACTTCATCTGCATGTACATTCGCTAGGGCCGGGCAATTAATCGAAAAGTCATCGAAATCGACATTCAGAACCTACCATCCATCTAATTTCTCCAGGTCATTTTTTTCAATTACTTTTCCTACTGTGTGTGGAGTCTTGTGACCCAAAGCTAATTTATACTTATTTTATTAGGATTTATGCCTATTATATTATTCTGATATTATATTTCCTCTTAGTGCACGTGTATGGTACAGCACAGCTTTTGTATACGCGTGTACTTCTCAAAAAAAATGTACTGACTACATGTGACACCGTCACGTAGCACAAGCTTTGTGATAGTGTGGAGAGCCGTGTTTTAGGCAATGTGTTTTAATTTCAGTTATTCACTGTTGATGCTCAATAAATAATCGTAGATAGGGTGTTCACTTCAATTATTTGAAAATCAAGTAATGCACCCTTCATTCAGAAATCTCCCACTTGTAATAGGTGACTATATTTACTGTACAGAACCTGTCAGGGAACTATGAAGGCAAAAACATCAAATAAATAAAATAATCGTTCATTAACTGTAATAGATTTCCCAGTGATGGGTTGCAGCTGGAAGGGCATCCGCTGCGTAAAACATATGCTGGATGAATTGGTGGTTCATTCCGCTGTGGCGAACCTGAATTAATAAAGGGACTAACCTAAAAGAAAATGAATGAATAATTGTAATCGAGTTAAAATGTTTAATTAATCGAGATTTTGATTTTAGGCCAAATTGCTCAGCCCTAACATTAGCAATGCGCCTTACTGGGAAATTATGCTATTTTGTTGTGATATGATATCTCTTACAGTATTATTAACTTACAAATACTATATTATCAGGAATTTGAAAAAAAAAATCATGTAATCATACTAAAGTAACAGGTAAGGATATAACGTGATTACTGTACTCCTCTTCGTGACATTACAAACCTGTATGACGTATTTGTGTTCAACCAAGAACATATCTGTGAAACGCTTCAATGGAAGTCAATTATGACCAAATATGCTTGGGTACCAACATATGAATTATCTTTTGTGTTCCACAAGAGGAAGTAAACAGGTGTGGAGTGAGTAAATTGCATAATTAGAATTTCTAGATGAGCTAACGAGGTAACCATTCGTTTCCTCAGTGTTTAAAAATGCAGTGTTTACATCTGATATTTCCACACAAACACAGGTGATCTGGGGTACTAAACTGAACACCAGTATTCTGCTCACCTCATTGGCAGATTACTTTACTTGTTTTAAGGAAAACACTCTTGACTGATTATTTCTGAAATCAAGACTTCATGTTTTATTGTCTAAAAAATGCTTGATTTAATAACTTAGATTGATTTTGCTTTAGATCTGAGTAAGAACAGCTTCTGTTTGCAGTGTAAGTGTTCCTGTGGTCTCCTTGAGAGAAACGCTCTGTACACTGGTTACTGATGCTCATTTTCTCTAGACGTCTCTCAAGCGGCGGTCAGGCTTTCCCTGACTGATGTAAATCGAGGACATTAGTGGATCTCTGCGCAGAGGAAGCAGAGATCATTGATTCAGTGAGCTGTACAGAAGTGATCAATGTAGGCCATAGATTACAGAGCGCCAGCATAATGGAGAACTGGACCGTGAATGGAGACTCACACAGGCAGATTTCAGCCTCATTGATGAAGCACCAGTAGTGTGGAAAACCTTGGTAAAACTGATCCAATGTAAATGTCCCGATTCATGAAAGTGTTCGTAATTTCCAAATTACACCTGCTGCCTAGTGCCCACCGTGTGAGTGCTTGAATCTTATTGCAGTGGCGTAATACTTCAAGTTTGCTTATGTCTGTACAACTTACTGCTTAAAACAAAGCTCGTTGCTCAGACCAATTTTCATGCTATACTTGTACAATTACGGAAATACAAAGAAGTAAATATTGCCAGTTACCTTATTATATATTCTTAAAAATGAAAATTATATTACTAGCATGGATTATTACAGAGCACACAAAGCGGACTGGCTGGAAAAATGCTGTTCTCAAGCTGGACAGTTGTAGATGATCACCTGATATTTTGATGCTGGCTAAAAGTGCTTTGGTAAATACACATTAATTGTTAGACATATTATTTTTTACATTTATGAAATATATTCAGATCTTAAAAGGGTTTCTAGAATGCTCATTTTTAATTAGGGCTGCACGATTAATCAAAAAAAGATTGCGATCTCAATTCGACCCTTCACACAATCTTAATTCAGCTTTTCTACAATTCAGCCAATTACATTTTCAAGGTCAGGAGAGAAAAATAAAGTTGGTCACACTAGTCTTCACATTGTTTCATATACGTTGCTCAGCAACATGGACACCTCTAAATGATGTTAAAAGTGTCACATACTGTATTTAAAATGTATAATTCACCCAAAAATGTCATTTCTGTCTTCATTTAATGATGAAGTCTGTTCACGTCCACCATTCCAAGTCTATACAAAATAAAGCATTTTAACCAACAGTAGACCTACACATACTGTAGACTAATATTATTATTGTTGTTTTACCCTGTTTGAGAAATAGCATTAATAATAGCCTACTCATATTAAACTTTATTTTACATCGACAGAATCGTGAGAAAATCCTGATCTTAATTTTAAGCAAAATAAATCCTCATTCTCATTTTAGCCAGAATTATGCAGCAGCTCTCTTTTGAATACAGATCATTATAAATCAGTAATCCACGTTTAACTATTTCAGCTAATGTTATGAAGCATTGGTGAATCTGGAGGATTGGGTTTCAGGAGGAAGTGTCTATTTATGCGCAAATCTACTGCTATATTTGCCAATGTTTCATAAATGAGGCATTTACAAATATAGAAAGAACTCAAAGCCTGAATCTACAGATGAATAAAGCGGAAATGGTTTTATCTGACGTGTTTCTCTGCCGATTTCATCTGTTTTTTTTTTTTTTTTTGGTAATGTCACACATGCATTTTGTGGCAGACGCGGGTTCACACTTTCTGAAGTCATTTCCTTCAAACATCTTGACTAAGATTATATTTGCATTCACAAAACGCTGCCTGTTTTAAAGCCTTGACTGCATTAACCTCTGTGTTGTTCAGATTCACTGCCCTTGGTTATGTTGGTGTTGTTTTTGCCCCATTGACTTCCATTTATAATGACATTTACTGATTGTAAAGCCATGACAGCATATAATCACGCATTCGCTGTTGGGCAGAGGGACAGTGGGTAATTTTTACTGTTGATCATTAGTTGCAGTGCAGAAAAAGCTTTAGTTTCTGGCGTTTATATGGAATATAAAATGCTGTCATGGCTTTGTGGTTAAAAAATGTGATTACAATGGAAGTCAATGGGGCAAAAACTGCCCCCAACATAACCAAAGGGGAGTAAATTCACCCAGAGTGCGTTGATGTGTTTTTGAAAAATGTCATAGCATATTCCCAAAATATGAGTCAAAATCAGATCTGTCAGCAATCATTCCATCTGCTGAAACCCAGAGAAAACTGTGGCCAAATTAAGACTCAAAATCAGCCCAGAGAGGATGAAAACGAGCCAGCAGCACACAGGGTTAAAGTGAGCTGGTGTTTGCATTGATGCGGCTGCAGTCTGAGAAACGCCACAAGTGTTTGAAATTTAAATAAAGTGTCATTGAGTGTTCGGTGTGACAGTAATCTGGCCGTGTGCTAAATCACACACACACTCCTGCTTCTGACAGGAACCCGCTGTTCTGGTTTCTGCCACTCATTCTTAGCTTTTGCCCTGTCAGAGCGTTTCCTTCATTGAGTTTGTGAGAAATATCTGACATGCTAGTTAATCATGTGACTTGTAAAACATTGTTTGCTTAAAAAAGAAGCCTAAACCTGTATGACCGGAGGACGAGTCTGTGAAGAGCAGACGTTCAGTGAGCCTCATCCATCAGACATGAACAGAAGGAATTCAGTTATGGGTTACGTTTTATAGATGTTAGTTGAACTGCTGTGAAACCTGTGTGTTCTTCCTGGCCAGATGAATACACTGAACATTGATGCACTGACATCATCATATTTTAGTAAATAAATGGATCTTTGTGTGTAAATATATTGCTGTATTTAACTTTTGGTAAAATGGTGCCATGAGGTGCGCCTCAGAAGATGAAGTGCAGTGAATGCGGTGGCTTTTGGAGGCGTGAGACGCTCTTTTGGGAGCGCAGACAGATGCTCAAGACAGTTCTGGAGGGAATAATTATACTGAAATGGTTAAGGCATTGTAGAATGACCAAAACATAATTGCAGATGTTTTACAATGTGGACGGCCTGCTCATAACTAAATCATATGTCTCTTAATGCGTATACTGGAATTTATTCAGTGAAAGTGTTTCAATTATAGATAATGCACATTTATTTTCAAATAAAAAGTGCAGCCTACTCTGTTATGCTCATGAGTTTATGAATTATTAGCTTTATACGTTTAAACCTGAAGGGGAGTCTGCGTTCATGGACACATAACTAACATAGTTGTATCTTAAAGGTGGGATTATTCTAATTATGAATGAGTTTGTACACGCTATTCACAGATAGTTGGACATCATTAACATGCATAACCATCAAATCTGATATTTATGAGGCGTTTGCAGACCATGAGAAGTTTTCAGGAAGAGTGTGTTTTTACATTAAGCCTTTTGTGTTTAAAATAAATCTAGAAGACCTTTAAACACACACACCTTGGCTAAAAAATAAAATTGGGCAGTCAGTGACGATCTAACAGCCCAAACTGGACGAGTAATCAGATATGTGAAAAGTACCTGTGCTGTCTGTCTAATCTGTGTATTTGGTGACTAGTCTAGTTTTGGGTTTGTTTGTTTTTAACCAGCACGTTGTCTATTAGACGTCTATTAAATGCTAATTTGCTTGGTGAATTGTGCACAATTTACATCAAGTTTACTTCTATATTTACAAATGTTTCATGAATGAGCGACACACAATATTATTATTCTTGTTACAGCACTCCTGCAGTTATGAGAGACTAAGAGAGGCTGAAAGCAAACTGGTGCATTAAACCATCACGACATCCTGTTATGCGGCTGGACGTTGTTGTCGAGTGTGTGAACGCTTTCGCTTCTGCTGTGTAAACACACACCCTTCATGTGATCGTTTGTGATAATTATGCTCCTGCTTAAACATTAGGAAGCGCTGCTGAATGAAACCTCCTGTTTCGATGAGGAACAGCCCAGCTGAGCAGCTCTGTGGTGTTGTGGATTTACAGGCTGTTTTCATCAAGCTGATTGGGATAATTCACCCCAAAATTATTACTGTCCTTCTAGTGGACAAACCTTTGAGTGTCTGTATTCTGTTGAACACTAAAGCAGATATTTTGAAGAATGCTGGAAAGCGGTAACCACTGACTTTCATGTTAATAGTCAATAGTTACAGGTTTCTAACATTTTTCTAAATATTCAAATTTGTGTTGTACTGAAAATAGAAGCAGTGAGTAAATGTTCATTTTTGGGTGAACAGACCCTTTAAGTTTAAACTATTGACTCTCGGCTGTGTTTCCCGGTGAACTATATTCCCACTCCAATGGATGAATGAGCTAAAACTGAAGTGCAGCTCCTGCGATGTGGCTATTGTGGATTTAAAGATGGCGTTATGGATGCTGAAGTGATATATTGCGCAGCTCTGCTGTTGATGTAATGGTCAGTGAGCTGTGTGTGTTTCTCCACATCCATCATTGGCGGAGCGCATGAGAAATGGCCACTTTCCTCTGCTTCTCCTGGCACTAATGGCTCTGTAGTACGTCATGCTCCACAAAACCAGATGCACTTTGTCTCTAAATAATGTATGGCTTTAATTTCCCCATTCACCAACCTAGAGCTGTTAGAGAGGGTGTTTGTCACATGATCAGTGTTCTGGCTGAAGTTATTATTAACCAGTGTGTGTGTGTGTGTGTGTGTGTGTGTGTGTGTGTGTGTGTGAGTCACTGAGTTCAGCTTGATGTGCTTCACTGTACGAAGGAGACTTTATTTTACATAACCTTTTTGGTGATTGATGCATGCTTTGCTATACTCTTGAACAGATTCTGAGCTTAGTTTTACCAGTTATGATTTTTACTGACTGACTGCTATTAATCAGCAGACACGTACATGATAGATAGATAGATAGATAGATAGATAGATAGATAGATGATACTGTATTTCTATTTCAGAGCATTCAGATGTACTGTATAGTAGCATCGTGTTTATTTCTGACTCTTCTGCAGTGGAGATGTTTTATTTGTTTATCTAGATCAGCTGACTGCAATAGACTGAAGCCAGTGGATAAAGTAAATCAAATTTTTCAGTTTAATTATTGCTATTATTATGTCAAAAGTGATTACATATTCATAGTGAACAGTGGCATTGGTTAGTAATTAGCTTTATGTAATATGATGGCGTGAGCTTGTACATGAACACACCATCACCATCAAGTGTTCATCGTATAACTACTTATTTCATTCACAAATTTAAAGCATCAGCATGTCCTCACATTTGTTCTTCCAAACTCAGTATATAAATACTTGGCTTTATTAATAATTGTCCATACGGTTATAGTTTGAAGCAACAAAAAAGGCAATCCAAACACCTTCCTTGGCATGGTTTTGAATAAATGAGATGAACAGAGCATAACCTAAACCTTTGTTTACTCAGTTCAATACATGGATACACTCATTCACAAAGCTAGTCTAATATTTGTCAAAACATCAAACCTCATTGGCTCTTGCTTCATATGACTCGACATCACCCGATGGAGAGCCAATGAGCTGCGATTGAGGGTAATGAGTCACATGTGATCTGTCATTCAGCAACAGCCATGCTGGGATTTTTATTTTAACAATGATCTGTTGGAGCCCAGCTGGAGAGACAGGTTTGTGCTGTTTTTAAAATCACACACCCCCTTTAAAAAAAGCCTCAGGCCTATAGCTAGCGCTCTGCCAATCTGCAGTCATTACACTTTTATTTGCTAGCTCTGAATTACAAAAACGGCTGAAGAAATCTGGGAAAGTCTGTCTGATCATATTTTTCATTATTGCTTGTATTTATAATTCTATCAATATTTTGTTTTATTGTTTATTTTATTCAACAGCAGTACAGTTGAGTAACTTTATTATTTTAATTGTTGAATGCAGACACTCAGTGCTGTTTTGTTTTTAGTAATGTGTAATTGCACTTGCATATAGATGATTATTATTTGTTATTATTATTAATATCGTTTTTAAACTATCATATCATTGCTTTCAAATCAAAAAATCATCATTGCATTAATAATTGCCAATCTAATTGAACATTGCTCTGATTTATCTGCTAATTGCCCTTCCCCTTCAGACTGGCATTATTTCAACTGTACATTACTGACACACACACACACACACACACACACACACAGTTGATTTAAACTGGTCAAATTAAACCAGAAAGTTTCAGTGCTTTATTGAACATTAGCACGGCAGGGTTATTATAGTTAAGGAAAACGAAAAGTTCAGTCAGTTAAGAAACTAGAGTTGACTGAAACTGTTTTGTGTTCACACAAAACTAAAACAAACTAAAATTATAGCAAAAATATCCATCGTTTTCATCTTTGTAAATGTGTTTAATACTTTAACCCTTTATAAGTAAATCTGTGTACTCCGCTCTGCAGGTGTTTGACCCATACGACACCTGAGTCTGTAATCCTGCTGCCATTGGCCAGATCAAGCCAGTCCTCCTCCAGTCATTCTCGCTGTTGCTCCTGTGACGGGAGTCCTGGACAGGACAGCATTAAACACAACCTGAGCTGACACTTCATAGTATTAATGTAGCACATCTGTGCCCAATAATGGGTTTATCAGTGTATTAGTGATCACGATCGCCATCAAATCGTTCTTCTTAAACAAATCTTCTAAGTGAACTGTTTGAATTAGCTCACCAACTCGAACTGAATCATTTGAAACGATTCGCATCTCCAGTAAGCACTTCTTTTACTTACTTTTTAACATGCCTGATCCCCTTCTGACTCAAAATAACCACTGATTATTTAGTCATTATTACAGTACACCGAGATCAGATTTGAGAAGCGGTGAAGCGATAATACTGCACATGCGTGATTCAGTAAACCGAACACAAGCAGTACATGATCGCCGGCTGCGACTGAAGCAAACGTGGGCTTAACCGAGGGGCTAAAAGAGGATCTGCTGAAATTGTAATGGAGTTTAAATAAGGGAATCATTCTTCAGTCTGACTGTAAGAAACTTCAGGTCATGGTGATGCTGGACTGACTGAAATTATGATTGCTGACTGCATATTTCTGATATGTTGAGTCCAAACTTGGGAGGATTGTCAACAACGGTTTGATTGGCGTTAAAGATCTGAACTTCCCATCACCACTGTGTGTCCAACCTGAGAAGCAGCCCGCACACTTATTGCACTTATGGCTGCTGTCTAGCGGGTGTTGTGTTTGAGTTTGAGGATGGTAGATGGGAGTGCTATTGTGTCAAAAAAAGGTAGCTCATGTTGAGTTGAGTTTTTACTAAACAATATTTATTCTGATGATTTTATATCTAGCACCTAACAAAATCATCATTTACAAAAATAAACCACAAACAAAAAACTAAAACACACTGAAATAATCAAAACTAAACTAAAACCTAAAAACTTCAAATATAAAAACGAGTAAATCTGCCTCTAATAACCAACTAAACTGACTGAATGTGAAAACAAAAATTATTATCAAAATACAATCTAAAACTATTGAAGAATCCAAATGTATCATGAGCTTGCAGCATGGTGGAATCCAGATCTACCTTTTCCAGCCTTTGAAGTGTTTCTGTCTCCTCGTAACCGGTGCACTATCCTGAGGGTGTTTGAAGGCAGGTGTGATGTGAGGGAAGGTGTAGATGTTCACAGGGTATGAGGGTTTTCTTTAGGCACTGTATTGGTCTGGTGTGTTGTTGAAGGCTCATCTTGTTGTTGTTGTTCTTCTGCTCCTCAGATGAAGCTCGTTCCCAAAAGTGTGGCATCCTGGTGCACTGCCTGGCCGGCATCAGCCGCTCGGTGACGGTTACGGTGGCGTACCTGATGCAGAAGCTCAACCTGTCGCTCAACGACGCCTACGATTTCGTCAAGCGCAAGAAGTCCAACATCTCACCCAACTTTAACTTCATGGGGCAGCTGCTGGACTTCGAGCGGACACTCGGCCTCAACAGCCCCTGCGACAACCGCTCGCCCAGCGACCAGCTGTTCTTCACCACACCCACCAATCACAACATGTTCCAGCTGGACTCTCTGGAGTCCACATGAGGGCCGCCGGGCGCCGGCGAATGTTATTGTCCTGCTAACGCAGGAGCGATCGGTCCACGGCGCAGCACACGGCCCTCAGGAGCCCGGCAGCTACTGCGGAGGATTTTACTGCAGCTTCTCTTGCCTTCATGAAACAGACTGTTCTGGAGTTTCTCTGACACACACACACACACACACACAGCAGAAGAAACGTCAGACTTTTGCACAGCGTCGAGAAGAGCGAGCAGAGCGTCTCCAAGGGTGCCAATGCGGGATTTTGTAATATTTGGGAGCAGAAGCCACAGCGTCTGGCTCTTTGTATATTTGCTGATGATGTCCAAAGTAAGTGACGGTGTGTTGGAGCACCGACTGACACAAACATTGTGATTCTCCCCTCTTTATTTTCTCTAGCGCGTGTGCGTGCGCGTTTGCAATGACCTAATGCGTTTTGCACAGTGGTGAAGCCTTTCACTTCTTGGCACTTAAAGCGGTTCTCTGACACACACACACACACACACACACACACACACACACACACACACACACACACACACAGAAGGAGACATTGAGCGGATTTGCTAGGCTGAGATGAGCCGCGCAGCTGCGACACACACACACACACACACACGCACTTAAAACGCTCATTGTTCCTTAACTGCAAGCGACAGATCCACGTTTGTGTCCCGGCGTGTTGCTCCGGGTTCACCTCTTGGCCTTCTCTGGTGATTTACAGTATGAATATATTGTATTAATTTCTACATAAGAGTATATATGTATGGGCTCTGTGTTTGGGCATGCGATCTTCTCCAGGCGGGGCACGTCACCGAATGTTGAGGACTGTTTTTTTAACTACTCCTGCCGCTCGGCGCGGGCGGGCGGCGGGTCAGCAGTGTGTAGCGAAGGCGTTCCTGACGGGAGCGAGCGACTGGACACCGGAGCGGACGAGTGCGCGAGTTAACAGGGTTGCTTTAAGCTGGCCTTATATAACCTTTTTAATTCTTTCCTACTCTTGACTGTTCAATACTCTTTATATCTGACTTTAGAAATCGTCAATTGTATTACGACGTTTGTTTCTTTCTTTGTTGATTTTTACAGAACCGAGATGTAGTAATAATAGACGACTAATGGTCTTTAACGGGTCAGTTGTGTTTGTTACTCTGCAATATACTCCGCAGCCCTCTGCAGTATTTTCTAGAAACGGCCTCGGGTTTTTGACTCCTCCTACTTTTGATACTAGGCGTCCACAGAAGCCGCGGCAGCTCTTGGTTAGCCGGCCGGGGTGAAGCGCGTCTGGGTGCGTTTCCATCCATTCCCTGCAGAATAAATGTGCTATATATACTGACTCCTGTGGCCTTTTCTCATATATCTCTCTCTATATATACAATATTCATCTTGTGCAGATATGCAACAGCGTCGTCCCCTTAATATATGGTTGCGGATGGCGATTTGTCACCCAATAATAACAGCGCGACGCTCCAAGCACCCCGGCGATAACCTGGTTAACTCCAGCATCTTTATTTGGTCTTGATTTCAGGCCGCTTCTCGTGGAGGAATGTCTGCATCAGTAACCGATGGGAAAGAGAGACCTCCTGGTTTAATTCTCTCTGTTGTATATTTGCCAGAACAGTGGACATTTCTTGTAGCTACACAGCGGTTCTGCAGTTTAATAACAGTAAGAGCGACACGCAGACGAGCGAATAAGGAAATGTGCATCTTACCTCACCGAGGAATTTTTCAGGGATTTTTATTTGACAATGCGTCGGCATCGTGTTACAGCTTCATGTCTAAAGCTGTTTTATATGTGATGTAAACATTTTTTATTATTATTACAGGAAAGATACAATCTCTATATATATATATATATATGTGTGTGTGTATAATACTGGGCGTGGCAACCGGGCAGTTCAACTCTCTGGTTTATGAAGGATATTAAATTGTCCCTATGTATTGTACAGTATATGAAAACCAATACGAGACTTGTTTGTACTGCAAATAAATATGGAATTATTTTTTTGGTTATATGCAGTCTGCTTCAGCGTGCTTCCTCCCATTCAGTATCACAGAGTTGCTGGAGTTTTTAAAAGCCCATTCAGACATTCAAAATCAGGATTTATATATATATATATATATAAATATACAGCTGAAGTCAGAGTTATTAGCCCCTCTGTTTATTTTTCCTCCAATTTCTGTTTATCAGAGAGCAGATTTCTCCAACACATCTCTAATCATAACAGTGTTCATAACTCATCTCTAATATCTGATTTATTTCCTCTTTGTTATGATGACAGCACATAATATTAGACTGGATATTCTTCAAGACACTAGTGTTCAGCTTAAAGTGGCATGTAAAGGCTTCACTAGGGTAATTAGGGTAAAGTTAGGGTAATTAGGCAAGTCATTGTATAACAGTGGTTTATTCTGGAGACAATCAAAACAAAATATAGCTTAAAGAGGCTAATAATATTGACATTAAAATGGGATTAAAACAATTAAAAACTGCTTTTATTCTAGCCAAAATAAAACAAATCAGACTTTCTCCAGAAGAACAAATATTATCAGACACACTGTCAACATTTCCTCAATCTGAGAAACATCATCTGGGAAACATTTAAAACAGAAAAAAATAATCAAAGAAGAATAATCATTTTGCGAATAATTTTGACCAATTGTGTGTGTATATATATGTATATATATATATATATATATATATATATATATATATAATTTGTAAATGGCTTACAAGCAGGATGACTTTTGAGTATTTAATCTTAAATGATTGAACAGTTTTCCAATTTGGAATGATTTAAGTAAAATAAAAAAAGGCAATACAAGATGTTTAGAAGTATTATTGTGTACTCCATATAATTTTAGACCGGTAAACTCATTAAAATAAATATACGCAGTGGTTTACTGTGAATGCATTTGATGTCAGCAAGTCCACAAATTTAGTCCAATTAAATAATGAATGGTTCAAGGCCACAACCCGGTACATTGTAAAAAAAAAAAAAATGTTTCCAGATTTTGTTTTTTGAGAGGTTGAGAGTAA